GGCTCTGCCTCGACCGAACTCGTAGAGCCGGCCGAGTTTGGCTCGTCCGGGTCAGAACTGGTTGGCCTGGCGCTACGAAGCCCGTAAGGCCCCGTTGGTTCGCGCAGGGCGTAGTTCTTCCCGCGAGGCTTGGCATAATCGTTTTGCTGGCGCCTGTCCATAGGACTGAGCAATCTCCGTTGGAGTTGCTCATGGCTGGTGTAAGGCATCACCTTGGCCAAGGCGCTTTGAGTTTGGCCCATGGTATTGGGACTTAGAGAATTTCTTTGGTCTTGGTCCGGACCGGAACGTTGGGTTAGATCGCTGTCGGTGCTGGTCAGGTACGCTAGAGCTCAGGTTTAGCGTTAGCTTCCTATGGCCCTATGTTACGTTACTCACCAGCGTGACGTCAGTTACAAAATGGTCTTGCAATTAGCTCTACGTCACGAGTAGCGTGCCGTGAGCAAAATTCAAAAAATAATATGAGTCACTACGACTGTTATAACACGGGGACGTTTTCCACGTGTTCTGATTGGTTAGAATTTTATGGAAAGTTACCACACTGACGTCACGCGACTTTTTTGCGAAAATTCCGGCTGGACAAAATGGCGGTTGTTTTTCGCCGAAAATTCAGTAAAAATCAGGAAAAATTTTCTCGAGAGTTCTGTTACACAATTCTAGTGCAGAATTCTACGAGGAATCCGAAAAAGCTATTTTTATAAGCGGTTCAAAAGTTATAGAATTTTGAAGTGTGGTTCTACGCGGAAACCTCGAAATTTTCGAAAGTTCTACGAAAACCTACGACGCCACAGCAGGTCTTACCGGTCGTTTTTCGATTCAGACAATGCTGCTCCGTCGTTCCACTTCACCCTCTTCTTCCGTGAGGGCCGCAGCGCACCCGATAGGGCGTTATGTGTGACAGAACCGTACCAAACGCAGTTTTTGCGCCGGGAGCCAAAGCTGCGGGGGACCTACTTATAGGCACCGACCCGTATCAACGCAACCCGGTAGGGCGTTTATTTGGTCAACAGGATCGTACCCAACACAGTTTTTGTGCGGGGAGCCAAAGCTGCGGGAGGCTTACTTATAAGCCTGACCCGTATGATTATTCCGTCGCGCTGCAGGTTTCCACTGAAACCTGTATGATGCAGGAGACAGATGAAGGTCGCGGGTTGGCTGGCCTACTTACAGGCGATCAGCGTAGTTCGACCGAGATGATGCCTTCACTGGAAGATCAGAGGTTCGCAGGAAGGAAAACCGAGCGATACTGCTACCATGTCAGATATGACACAGAAGCAGATGGAAAATGGGGCAAATAGCCTTTATTGTGAAACAATAAAGCAACCACAAACAAACACAGAAAAAGCCAATGCGGCATATGCTGTGGAAAGTAGCTGCCAGCGAGCTCGTAAGAATCGTGATAATGATTCGGCGTGCTGCAGGTATGCAACAGCTGATGTCGTAAAGCATAGAATCGCTCGTAAACGCTGGGCTACGCCCCCAAGAGTGCAGAAATACGCTGATTGGTCAGCGTAGACAAAGTATACGCTGAGTGAGCAGCGTAATAGCGCGGCACGAATGGAGTAGCCATGTGCGGGCGGGCGACAGAGCAAAGCCACAAGAGGTGTCTACCGCCTCGAGTGTGCGGTCTCTGACACTGTTTAGTGAGTTTGTTGAAAAAGCTGTGGATTAACCGAAAACTAGATGGAAGCGATTGGCGACCTTTAAAGTTCGAAAGCGTGTTAAAAAGATAATTTTGAAAAAGTCATATACTATAATATCAACTACGAAAATACATGTAGATATACGAGTATTTTACTTTCAAATTGACAGACGAGGCAGCAGTCTAGTGGGTTCCATCTTACGGAGGCAGAAGGTGAAACTGTCTTATTGCAGACAGGGGCGATTATGACAAACAACAACTCTAAACCAGAAGCTTTGGCGTGATCGGCAAAAGTGACCCCCCCCCTCCCGCAGCAGTGTTTTCATGTTGTGAGTGTGCACTCTTGCCGTTTGTTTAAAATGTGACCGTTTGCTGGACTGTTCACCCTGATAATGCCCTTGGCTGACGATCGTGGCGGTTTTTAATTTAAAAGGTGACCAATCAGCATTGATATGCAGCTCCTTAATTTCGCCATGACGACGAAATGGCTATAGTATTTCTGCAAAAATTACGAACGGCGTTTGGAGCCCAGCGATAATGGGTCGGGTCGGCGCACGGGTCGGCGGTTACTCTCAGTGCGATTCAAATTCGAGCATGTAATCGTTGAATGAAACGTATCAAACGCGATTGCCGAACCAGAGGTGAGCATTACCATTGTGGCTAATTCTGCACAAATGCATTGCTATCCCAGCAGTGGCGACGGAGGAGAGACAGAAAAATGTCCATGGGAATGTGTTTCTGGCGTAGACCATTAGTGCCAGTCACTAGTGTGCATCACGCAGTTGGAGGATGTATTTATACATCAAAGGTTATGCGCTATCTACGTAACGCACAGAAGTCAAGCGCTACAGTACCGCTGTACCCGCCCCGCTACGTCAAGGAAGCGAACAATGACGTCACAGACAGTGGCTTAGGTAACGTCATACTGTTACTTCCGTAACAAACTTCCGTAACGGATTTCCGTTTTCCGTAGCACTAGCCTTTAATATATAGGACCTCCTCGTCGCTCCGGTCGAAAGTAGTCCAGATTCCAAAAGGATCAAAGCAGTAATTTAGCATCGTACTCGTACTTTTATACCGCGTGTTGGCTCGAAAATAACAGCTTATTTTCTGCTGCACATGGCAACATGCTTGTATCGGACAAACATTTTCTGATAAACAATCTTATCTGGTTACGAAATCCAGAAATCGAAAAGGCTGTAGTGAGTAGTTTAATGTTATTTAACGAGACTTTGCAGAGAGAACAGTTTTAGTGGTTCTGCGTAAAACTAAGTTTTGTTCTACCGCCCTTGGTGAAAGTTTTTGCGCAATTCAAATTCAACGCGGTTAATCCACAATTTTAGCGACTGCTGTATCAAACAGGTGGATCTGGTGCAGCCCACTGTAGTCATTTCATTGGGTCATTTATACCAATCAACACTTCACAGACTGTGCAGTTCAATTCAGTTCAAATCAAGGCTTGGAGTCGTCGAATTACCCGTCCGCCCCGTGGGCTTCATGACTAGTTACTAGGGATAACTACTTTGCGCCTTATCCTAAAAAATCCCAAAATAATATACTCAGTAGAAAGAGTAATTTTCGATTAGTGTCCTTCCTGGGTGCTGCCATGGGCCTCCGAAAAAACCTTCGGTGCATGCTAAAATGAGAGACGTCTCACCCATCTCGATCTGGTGGGCGGAGCTTAACCTCAGAATAGATCCCTCTATTCTTTCGTGCAATTCCTTTGATCGAGATATTCAGTAGCTGCTCTCCATGATGCATGCTTGTAGGTGGATCCACTCTACACCTATGCAAAAGAGGGCAGTTCCGAGCTGGTATCGCCAACATCACGACACTGCTGTTCGGCTAAAACTACGAGCACTTACATGCTACATAACAGATTTGTTTCACAAAAATGCTAGCTTTGAGTAATGTTTTGTTAACTCGAAGTGTATATTAACTATTAAGTACAGTACTGTACACAATTATATCTCTACAATTTACATAGTAAATTGCCGCTATAAGGCTTGAAAAACCTTGCAAATATATCTTTCTGATAACAGCAGACAACGCAAAAACTTACAGAGGATGTTACAATTCCATGTTCTTACGGAACCTGACCAGCCGAAAGCTCAACCCGATGCGGTGAAGGTTTTCCACCCGCAGAAGCCCGTAGAAAACCAAGCCTGCCACAGTGAATAAGCCGCAGACTACGAAGCCCAAGAAGACCAAACCGGAACCGGTGGAACCACGTCGTACAGCAAGGGCGAACGCTGGAATTGCTCCCAAGCTGTTATTGCATGAGCAATAAGTTGTCTGTTTTGTTTGTGTTCGTGAAGTGGGTTCCTCACTTGGGAAAGCTGTCAGTGTAGCATAACAACAACATGTTGTACATATTTATACTTGATAGTCCACGATGATATTATGTTGTGATATTACATAATTAGTAAGAAGACGTCAGAGAACTAAGTAAAGTCATGACAGAGACAATCGAATAACTTGACATTTTGTACACGCGTATTCAGAGTAGCATCGACACAATTCCACAACAGGACTGTTGCCAAGCAATGGGCGCCAGTACAGTACAAAGAACCACTTCCGCTCAAGTAAATTAATCATAATTAAATGCCACATTTAATTGTACATTTAATTGTGACGACTATCAACGTTTACTAGCCAGTCCAACGTTATGGACATGCAAGAGAGCATAACGGCCAACTGCCTTGAGAACATGTACCAGTTTCCGGTTAAGTAGATTACTTTTGTGGATTTTGTTACGGACATCTGAATTCTGTGAATTAAAACGGGATTTTCCTCACAAAATTGTACACCGTACGGGCGCGTTTGTATTTGCAATTTCACAGAGTTATTGCATCCGTCTCCACAAAAGCTGTGTGCATTGCCGCTTGCCTCTAACTGTCTGAGCTTGAGTCTGATTTTGAATGCCAAAAGTCGAGTCCGAATAGTGACATTCTGATTCTGATTACTGAAGCTCTGAATCTGAAAACTGAAATTATGAATAATAAGACTCTGAATCCGGCCGGTGATAACCGAAGTCCGACAGAATCAGACTCACACTCAGACTTTCAGCGCAGACCAGAAAGGTCTCGATAAACTTACAGCGTGAAAAAGTTAATTACGTTTTTGCCATGTAAACCATACTATAGGTCAACTACGTAATCTGACTTTTGCCAAAGGTTACTGACTGATTTTAATTAACGAACGGATGATACAGCGGGATTGCTAACAATCTTCCAAGGGTCATGGAAAGTTCAAGTAGGTTGAATGCTAATCATTAAACATTATTATTTACTCAGTAAATAATAATAGTCTGTAGCTGTTCATGAACTTTCACTGGTAACTCTACAGACGAAACGGAAGGCAAGTATGACTCAAAATAAACAGGAAAAAAGTCACAAACCCGAGGGAGCACAGCGTCAGAGCGGCCCCATCCGTGGAAAAAATAGGAGTGGTGGGCAGGAAGAAAATTTTAGAGTGAACGCAGACATTGAATGTAGCTAATGCACGCAGACACTGTAGCTAATGAAAGATACATGCAAGTTATATATAGTGGGTTATGTCCGGTATGACCATCTCCGAATGTTGGGTCATTCATTGTCGAGCAAGGATGTAACAGGACAGCAATCAGGACATGGCATTCTCTGTCGGTTATAAGCAGATTGGTCTCGACAGACAAATCTTTCTCACCATCAGTAGTCGACTTGGTAAAGCCGATGGCACGCAGCACCATTATGAAAAGTATTTCAGTAATTTTGCGCAACCATTTTTATAGCAAATTTACTGCAGATTTTCCTGATTAATATAAAAAGAATCGATTTTGTGCAAATAAAATAACCTTTTCGTTCCAAATACAATTTAGTTTTCCAGATAATACATCAGCTAACAAATGTGCGTAAAAAGGTTTGGTTCTACACTTATTAGTTCAAGGATTTCGCCGTTCTGCGCAGTTGATATTCGACTTCATCCATCCATAACTTCAGTGAGTGCATTATCAAATTTCTTCGTGCAATTCCCGCAAGCGAGATTTTTAGCAGTTGGTCCACATGCTGCATGCTGGTGGGTGCATCGACTCTCCATCTAAGCATCAAAACAATTCCAGGCTCTTAGTAAAAATGCTAAACTCCTACAGCTATGAATTAAATGTCCATTGTCTGTTAATTGGTTACTTGCCAGGGAACATACCGAGGCTATAAATTCAGAAAAATCTAATTTTTGGCAGAAAGGCAGAACAACTATATAGGATGCTTGAAAAAATTATTTCATGTGCCATGACCAATGGGCGTGGCTAAAACAAAAATTTAAAAGTAAATCCTACAGGATGCTGTAGCCTACAGGTAATGCACCGCTTCGTACGGTACAACGTCATGCTGAACCATCTTTACGGGTCAGATTACCTTTTCACATTTATTGTCTGTGCTGATCGCTTTTTGATTGTAGTTCACCGATTTTGGAGATATCTCCAGAAAAAGTTAGGTGTCAACTGTACCATCAGTTATACATTTTACACTTTCCTTTCTCAGTAGAAACGATTTACCTTAATTTGTGAAAACAAATTTTCGTATACAGGTATAAGTGTACGTCGTAACACAGAAGTATTCCCCATTCAGCCCTGCGAAACGGGTTTGTAAAGGGTGTGCAGCGCATGCTTTAACTTGTGTACGTCGAGATGGATCGGTACGCGCGTGTTACCTAGATTTTGTAACTAGCTGAAAAGTTGCTGACAAAAATTAATTGTAAAGAGCAGTGCAAACCGATCCAAAATCTAAACGATGATCTGCATAAAGGGAAACAGTTACTACTATAGCGAGCAGCACAGAGAAATCTTTTGAACGAGTAAGCTGCCTTCGTACAGATTGTCCAGTAACGTTGTAAGTCTTATAGCGTATGATGCAGTGCATTTCCAATAGGCTACAGCACAGTGTAGAATTTATTTCTAAATTTTGGCTTGGCCACGCCCTATTGTCCATGGCACATGAATTAATTTTTTTAAGCATTCCGCATAGTTGTTCTACCTTTCTGCAAAAAATGAGATTTTTTCGAATTTATAGCCTCGGTATGTGCCCTGGTTGGTTTCTGAAGTTTTAACGACAACTAACCACGTAATAAATCTGCAGCGCTTTTCTTGAACTCACTGTTTAACCCATAAAACATGCTCGTAGTAGCGTACGTAATTGGCACATTACTATTTTCTTACTTAGAGAAGCAAAGGAATAACGTATCCGAGAACGATGTTTTCCACATCTTCGCCTGACTGACAAACTGGCAAATTTTTGCGAAGCGCTCGATCATGTCTATACGGGTCTTAGCATTCCAAATTGGGCAGCAGTCGTTAAGACGATCAAAAAAGGCGTTTTGGAGTTTATCAGAAGGCTGTTCATCAAAGTTATAAATAAAATCCGGAACAATGATCAAAGGGCTTTTCTCGCCTGGACATCCCCAGCAATCGGCGAATGAATCGGAGAATAGATAATAAATATTAAGTGAGTAATCCTTGACTGCGATTCCTCGGCATAGTTTGGGGAAGGAAAATGCTGACATATTTTCTGCGGTGTCAAATAATTCGGCGATGCAATCGTGACGGCCTCCAGTGATCACCAACCAGTTCAGTTTTATGGACATGCAAGAAAGCATAACCGCCAACGGCTTTAAGAAATGGTACCAGGTTCCGGTCACGTAAACTACTTTTGTATGTCTTGCTACGCTCATTTGAATTCTGTGGATTAGAACTAGATTCGTCTCGAAGAAATCCCCAACACCATAGGGATTGTTTTCGCATGTGGAATTTCGCAGAGGGATTATAGTGTCCCGTCTCAAAAAAGGTGTATGCATTGCCTCTTGCCATAGGGTATTTACTCTGCCAAGGTTAGGAAAATAAGAAACAAGACGCTTAATTAGCAGCAATAGTAAAATACCTTCTCAGCAACTGCCGATCGTAAACATCGAAGTGGGAGAATATTTCCAGCTGTAAGAATATGGGGATATCTTGGAAGACCGTGCCGTTAGGCAGACCATCTGAAAAGTAAACGGGTACAGTACTAAATAGCATAACATTTGGAAATACCGAATACGTATGATCATTATTTACAAAGAGTGACTACCATTGTATATTATCCTATAAGAGCAGGCACTGAATCAGTATTGACGTAGTAGCTGAAATTTGTTGACGTTGAGTAAACGGTCCACAAACCAAAAAGGAAGACAGAATAAGTTTTCATTCTGAAACATAATTAAACGTTAATTAATATGATTATTCACCGGCATTGTCCGAAGCAAAGTGCACCATACTCTGAACGAGCCTTCCTACGACTTCCGACAACATCCACGCGTCTGACCACATTGTACCAGAAATATAAGCATGGGCTAAAATCATCAAATCATTCCGGTGATGTTTTTTGAGCGAACCACGGCTCAACAGTTCCATACAACCATCAAAAGCTCCAATCAGGATCGTTCCGGAATGGCGCAGCCACTCTTTCTGAAAATTCCGACCCCGCACATAGTGTCGCAAAATCACCACCCAACGCTCCGGAATTGGTATATAAGTTTTACAAAAAGTTTTTCGCGTTACATTGCTACTACAACCACCACGGTAGCGAATGCGTCGATTGATCAACCCCCGCAGATCATTGTTGACCAAACATAGTTGCGGGTTTCCATCGGGTCCGGCCACCTGTACTTGCACTAGCTGCCATTCTAGTTCGGGTATGTATGGCACTTCAAAACAATCCTCGTGCACGATGTGCGCTTTATGCCAAGTTGCTGGCTGACTATCACCGCGACTGATCAGCACTTCCATTGGGCGCTTGAGTGCCACATTCAGCCGATATTTTACGTAAGACCATAAAGTATAGGGATATACTATGAGGCGTTTGAAGGGTATCAGATGAGCAGTATCGTCAAACATGCTGGTCTTCACCAACAGTCCTTGATCTTCCAAATCACACACGTAACCACGGGTCAGAGTTTTACCATCACCGATTATATCCACTAAAAATTTGTCGTAAATATTCCGATCGCAGTGATACGGTATCGTGGTCAAGTTCAGCACTGGCGTCGCGCTCTTATCGAGAGGAGTGTGTGCGAACGGCATGGCAGTGCACCTCAGCAATACGGTTAATAAGCAGCTCCTTGACAAAAAACGCTACGATTATGGCAGCTCATAGTACTGCAGGAACAGGCGAAAATTTCTACGACGTAAGAATAAATTCTTTGGCGCATATAACGCTGGAAGTGGAAAAGATTGCAACCTTTTCGTCATAATACGGTAATTTATGGTATTCGAAAAATATTCTTAGCCAAATAAATCTAAACAGTGACCCATATTCGCAGCAGTCCAGGCTTTTAGCCTTTCATTTGCGCTTCCTACTGCCCTCAAAACTGAGTTGATGGTGTATTTAAGATTGCACGCATAGGTCTGCAACACGCGGTAAAATCGATTGCCTTTGCCGGGAACGCTACTCGTACTAGTATATGCGACTATGCAGATTGCAGACTATAGAGCATTTGTATATTATACTATACTAGTATTCAGTATATTGTACACTACTCGTTCACAACGAGCAAACCTGTACAGCCCTCTGAGCAAAAGTATGTAAATCGATACGGACCACAAAGCATAGGATAATGTAAGTCCGGCAGCAGTGCTTTCTGTACTTCGCGGTCAACCCTGTGGAAAGTACGGTAGACCGGGCTTGTGATCCAGGACTGGCAATCATAGCACTGTATTACTTTTACACTTTCTCCATTCGTAAAATGGATTTTGCCACACAGCGAGGTTAAATAAAGTTTCTTGACAGTTGACACTACTTTCAAAATATTCGGAGCAAATAAAAATAAAAAGTTTTCTCTCTAAAACGTTTGTATTGAACGGCAGACGAGCTGGAATTACAAGCAAGATTATTTAGCATTCTTGATTAGTATCACTCCCCTCCTTAACGCATGTAAAATAAGGACACGCAAGTTTTCTATCATACATTTACGTAGTATGATGAGGCAGTTTTGTTGCGGAAACAGTTTGTTTGAATCAGAGGAAGTTGTTACTAAATTTTTAGCTTGAAAATTTTCCGTATGATATTCAAAAGAATTTAAAACTTTTTATGATTGGCTAAAGTATGTGTGCATGCCTAGCGACTCACGAATGTCGGCATCATATAGTGCAGTTAAGTTGAATTAATTTCAGCGCTCTTCGTCGCTTTGCATACCTTGCAAACCGTATTAATGCACAGATCTTTAGCCTAGATGCACTTTTTTAGTTTTCATAGGTTTAAACTGTACTTCGTTTTATTGTTCAAGCTGTAAGTTTTATTTGTATGCAGTAAATAAACCTCGCAGCTGAACTTAATGTCGGTTTTTTCATTTGTAGACGTTGTACAGAGCGCAACAATATTCTCCGAAATGCAACGCAACAATATTCTCCATTAAATTGGCAACATACTCCTATCTGGACGTTCACGATAGGAACTTGCCGAGAAGGTAAGTATGGGATGATATTAATACCAACCCCACATGTACCTGATGTACGTACCATTATTTTCAGTAATTTTAATTGTGCGTACTATAGCACACATATTTCATCACGTCTTATATTGTACTCGTACACTGTAGAGTAAGTTCCGTCTGAAAAGCGGCACTGAGCACCGCTTTACTACACCGGAGCACCATAATTCCAATTCGACATGATAGTTTGGATAAGCCATAAGGTGCGAGGTTTGGGGATCCGCCGGAAAATCTGGCTTACAGAATTCAAATGTCTGTAACCTTTAACACGGAGGCGGTTTGCCTGTTTGATTGAAGAATGGCATTCAGAAGTCAATTTGCTGACCGTACTGCTAACCTACATCGGTGTCAGGATAAACGATCTGGTTATAACCACAAATATCGATGACTTTATCGGTGAATTATTTCATGCCAGCGAAAATTTTTTTGCTTTTGATGTGGCAGAAATTTGCCGAAATATCGTACTCAAGGATTATAAATTCGACATGTTTCGAGGGTATAGCTATGTGTACAACTTGAGCCTCATCAGCTCTCCTTCTTCGTGTAATGCGTTGATGGGCATCATGCGCGAAATGACCACGAGGAAAATTTTTTGATCGGTTGGATGGCTTTTGTCCGGAAATAGAGCCGCAGCTCTACGGCATGCTACGCATCCGCATATCAACGATCAGCGGGTTCGGTGATAATCTCAGGCTGTGGGAAATATTGTTCTGGAATCCCTCATCATTTGCTTCATGAAGTACGTCAACAGTGTGCCAAATTTTACTAAGCTTCTAGCAGCTTTTGCCGTATAAGGTTTTGAAATACAGTAGTATATAATTATTCGAAAATTTTTTGAAACTGCTTTTTTGACAGGTGGAATGCTGATCCTCCGAACACCATGCAACACTTGATTATGCTGAGCAGCTCTTTCGAAGGAATTCGAAGAAGTAACTTAATACTAAGGTCGCCACTCTTGTGGATGCATGAGTCAAAGACGAGCTGAGCTGTATCTGTTTCTTCGCAAATGTGCAAAGTATCAAAAGCAGAAACTTTATTGTTAGCATATCTGAGCTGTTTGGCACAGAAAGCGCAATATCACAAATTAATGTCCTGGAATGTCTTTTTTCAAAGCGCACCGCTGTGTCGAGTATTTGTACCTACGACTGCAGTAATATTTTATTAATTGTTCCTGAGAGTTCGTAAATAACGTAACATTATTTTTATGTGACTGGATCATAAGACCGTGATTCAGTAGCAGGAACGTTTTCTCCTGAACCCTCTTAAACCAGTTACTTACTTTTCGTTTTCCGTTAAAACACTTCATAAGTGAACAGTAGCGGTTTTAACTCTAGCTACTGTAGTAATATGAATAAAGAATAAACGTCGAATTCATTCGGTTTGCATTTTACCTTGAGCACGTGCGGATATCCTGACAAATATTTTTCAGGCAAAAAGTGTGTTCGCTTCACAGATTGTGTCTCCACTCCGTACTGTAACAGTAACACCTGCACAAACCTAAATCACGCGCACGCTCGGTAGAATATTTTGGCAGTTTACTGTATCTTCTTGGAAATATGTATGTAATAATAAAATAAAGCTTCGATTTTACCGGCACTAGAATAATGAACGCATCATCCGCTGTTTCGAGCAATCAGACAGTTCTGCCGGTCAGTCCACAATGGGGCTACGAAATGGTTCTAAACGCTATTTGTAGCACATTAGCCCTATTCTTCAACACGGTGGTAGTTGTTGTATTCTCAGTTCGTCCGGAACTGCGCACGACTTTTACGATCTACCTAACCGCGTTACTGACCTCCGACGCTTTAATGAGTATTCACGGCTGCTTGACGATTATCAAGCAGCTCTACCCAGTGTATATGCGCAACGTCGTTTTGTGTGATTTCCGCTTATATATCGCATGGGTAATGATCGGCGTGCCGTTGAACATCCACGTCTTGATCACCGTAAATCGGATTTGGGCAATTGCCTTTCCGTTATCGTACCGCAGCTATCATAGCTCCCGATTGGCGCTGATACTGGTTGTTGTGACCATCGCGTACGTTCACGTAATCGCCTTACCGGGAGTGATTATGAACGCACTGTACTTCCGACGACCTTTATCCAGCAGCAGCTGTTCCCTTAATCTAGGCAAGATGACGACCTGGTATCAGATGGTGCAGATTGTTATCTACGAATTTCCGGTGGTTTTCATGATCGTAGCTTGGATGTATCTGATGTACCGTCAGCGGAAGCAACAGAATACCATCCATGCCATTACCCATGCTGCGACGATTGTGGACCATTCTATGGAAACCCGGAGCGGTAAAAAACCGCACCGAAGGAAATATACCAAAGGTTTCTTGGTGTTTTCTGTGCTAACGTTGAGTGCGTTTATCTGCTGGACGCCGTATGAGACTATCTACACGCTGTGGGCGTTTTTTGATATCCATGAAGCAGCGAATCGGAGGATTATTGATGTATCGCTGGCGCTGTATCTCGTACAGCCGGTTCTCGATCCGATATTAATTATGATTACGATGGATGATCTGCGTGCAACTATTAAACAAATGCTGCGCTGTAAATAAGCTTATTTATTTTCGATCTGCCTTGTATCTAGAATTTTAAAAATTCCAAAGTGCAAATTGTTCATTTTATACAAACCGTTAACTACCGTAGCTAGGTTTGCTTTCGGCCGTGCTGCAGTATTCTGCTATTTAGCATTTGTATGAGTACTTCAGATTTAATAAGGCACTGATATTAATTTTGAACGTTTTGCGACATTGTTGTTTGTGTTAATGATTTTCAGCATATCAGCAGTCAGTGCTACCTGTACAGACCTTGAGTAAGGCATTAAAAATCGCTTTTCCGTGCATTTGTTGTAGAAATAAAAAGGAGTGCAAACACTCACAACATGATAAGGCATTGAAACTTATGGTTATAGACATCTGCTCTGTTTTTTCTTCTTGTTGACCTTTCCACGAGGAAGGAAAGGTCCACTTTAAGGCCGATCATTTTTTATTATTATTATTTGACTTATTGATCATGATGTAACACCAATCCTGATGCTTTTCACCGCGATGTATCGGACTGAGAGTAGTGAGAGATGACCTGCAAGGTCGTCGCCGAAATAATACTGACGCTACTCATTCGTCATAGTAAGTACTGTATCTATCTCAGACTATCTGTACACGATAATAAAAACCGCCAATTTTCAAAAGCTCGGGTTAAGGTAAGTTAGCAATATCACATAAGTGTAAAACGTATCTGCAGAGCGAATAAGGAATAACTGTTTAGATTGCTGTTTTGCTATCAAGCCGATATGTTAATCAATGTGGAGGAGCTCAAATTTAACATGTTTATTGGTCATTTATTTTTTAATACTGGTTTGCTTAAGTTGATAAAAATATGTACAAATACATGTGTACAAGTGTCATTTCCGCAAAGTAACGGTTCCAGCATCCATTTTTATGCATTAGATCTGGATCGTGAATCGTAAAAAGATGTTATTGCTTGCTAAAATATTCATCAATATTTACAGGTGTGCAGTGGCACAGTTTGACGGAAACACCAACACTTTGCTATTTGTTGTGCAAATAAAGCTTTTGACAAACAGGACGCCTTTCAAATAGTATATTGCTTAACGCACGTTCCAACATTCCGTATTACACACCGGATTTCCTGTCTGGACTCTTGAGATAAAACCCATTTGCAATACTGCATTAGTACGTTTACTTCCAGCTTTAATCAAACCAGGGCACTTACACCACTTCGCTAGATTTTTCAAAATGACCATCCTTAACAGCAGCAGCTTATCGTTAGTTTATGTTAATCAAACCAGCGATAGCGACATACTGGGAAACAGCTGGGGTGATGACATCACCATCGCGTGCGCCTTTATTTCATTTGTCTTCAACGGCGTTGTGGCCGTCTGCTTCGCAGCTAAGAAAGAACTACGCACGCCATTCTCCTTCTACTTCTTGGCATTAACATTTTTCAACGCCCTCTACAACATCCTGATTTTCGCCACATCCTTCTGCTACTGGTCCGTTAGCCTGTGCGCCAACTTTACATCATGCACTTTCCAGATTTATTCCGCATGGACCATCACCGGCATCCCGATTAATCTGCACATGCTGATTACCATCAACCGCATCTGGGCTATGTTCTTCCCGATATCCTATCGCAACCACCATTCCTATAAAATCCCGCTGATCCTGGTAGCTAGCGTCGTGGTCTACGTGCACACCGTAACATTTCCCGGGATTTTTCTGGATGCGCTGTATCATCGCAAGCCACTCAATGCAGGATGCCGGTTGAACCGGGCGCCGTTAATGTCGTGGGTGAAGACCGCTATGATTACAGTGTACGATCTGCCCGTGTTTGTGATGGTGATTGCATACCCGGCACTTCTGGTCAAGCATATCGCATTAAGGTCATCCAGCGCGGCGAAAACAGGACCGTCCAAACGTCGGCATAAAGGTTTCGTGGTACTGTCAGCGTTAACCGCTGGTGCGATTATTTGCTGGATGCCGTACAACCTAATTGACACGGTTGAGCTCTTCGTTGATGTAGCTGAGGATGCGGTCTTTGAGGTTGTGTCAGCCAGCGCGTTTGTGCTTTATCTTCTGCAGAGTCTGCTCGATCCAATCTTAATTGTTGCAACGATGGAGGACGTACAACCAGTTTTTAAAGGATTGTTAAGAAAAAGCAGAAGAAAAACCTCGATTAAGCCGTTGGAAACCAAGATGTCGGAAAGGACATTTCCGTAGGCTAATTGCGTTTTGCTGAATTACGGTTCGTTGCAAGATGTTTGATATTAAATTTTTTGTTTGCTTGACTGTGAGTTGCCTCGATTTCTGCTGTTAATGTACTTTGATCATCTCATCCGTTTATCGATAGAAAACATGTTGGTTTTTCATTAATCCAATGTTTGCCTAATTTTCTCGCTGTTAGTTTTAAGGTGAATTCATCGGCTGATCAAAAACATGATCCGTATTCCCTTGTGACCCTGGATCAGCTCAGCACTTGAAGTGTATTTGCATAATCAATAAAACAATTTGTTATCAGGCATGAAATCTGTATTGAGTTTCGCGTACTAATCTAACCACATTAAAGTTTCATATAAAACAGATCAAACAAGTAGGCAAAAAGTAGAATCTCATTGCATGCATAACATGCTCACGCTCTTTTTTGACTATATGTATCTGCAAATAACCTGCAACTTTTTCTACAAAATCTGTTTTTAAAGATACAAATTGGAGGTCAATTGTGCATAAAAAATGAATTTTTCAGGTGTTAACGCAAACTTTACCAGTACTTTAGACAGTGCACCGGAATATCACTGGACCGATCAGCTGACAATCGCTTGCGCCTGCATATCTTTTATCCTGAACTCAACAGTTGCGGCCTGCTTTGCGTTCCTGAAGAGCTTGCGCACGCCTTTCTCGGTGTACTTCCTGGCCCTGACCCTGAGTAACACACTATACAACCTAATCATTCTGATATCCTACTGCGCCTATTGGTTGGCTAGTTTATATACCAACTTCACCTTATGCACGCTGACGATCTATTCCGCTTGGACACTGGCCGCTATTCCCATCAATCTGCACGTCCTGATTACGGTTAACCGGATCTGGGCCATGTTCTTTCCTCTGTCGTACCGGAATCATCATTCGTACATTGTCCCCGTTCTTTTGGCTATATGCGTGGCGGTGTATGTTCACGTGGCCACGATACCAGGAATTATTCTGGATGCGCTGTATTTTCGAAAGGTCACCGGGGGCTGTCGCTTAAACCGGATACGCTTGATTAACTGGGTAAAGGTCACCATGGTTGTAGTCTTTGATTTGCCGGTGCTGATTATGCTTGTCGCCTATCCTGTTCTCCTCGTCAGACATTTTTCCATGCACTCCGCGTCAACATCAGTGTCGTCGCATTCGCGGAAAATGCAGAAAGCTTTTATCACGTTGTCGGCGCTGACTTTTGCTGCCGTTGTGTGCTGGTTACCCTATAACTTGATTGATACGGTTGGATTGTGGGTGGATTTCACCAACGTGGCGGAAATGGAGGTTATCTCGGGGTTTGCGTCCGTACTGTATCTTTTGCAGACACTTCTGGATCCTGTTCTGATCGCTGCGACAATGCGAGAATTTCAGCAGGCCATCGTCCGAATACGACAGCAACCGAGTTGGTTATCAAAGAGTCATGTGGAATCGAAAGTACCAACCGCTATTAAATCTCTGCATGTTGATCAAGAGTCTTGACAATACTAGCGCGCTTATCCATAAATTAAGATAAGTAATAATTTTTCTGTGTTAGTTTTATCTTGTTCTTTGATTTGAGCGTAGAATTTAATATAATATATTAGCTTAGTAGTTATTTTAAATACAATGTACTATTAGTTTCACGCGCAAGGACATATCATTTTGTTAATATTGGCAATTGGCTTACTAATCACAGACGGCGTATATGATTACATTATTGCTGTAAACTACAATAAATTCATTTATCGTCAGTAAAAGCGGTTAATTGCGATGAAGTTTTACGTGTTGTCCTTTATTTGCGGAATAAATTTACTATCGATTGTGATTTGCCATACATTAGTTTACAGCAACAGCCCGCGTTCCGGAAAACATGAAAAGTGCGCAAGTTGTGAAAGGCGACTCCTGTTCACCCAGTAAAGAAGTTGCAGCAGCCTTTGTGCTTTATTTGAACAATTTTCACCAGTCATTAAATGGCTGTAACGATCTTCGCCACACTGAGCAATGCTTGAATTTTGCCGGCTGTACATTCCAGATTTACTGCGCCTGGACGATCGCCGGGATTCCCATTAACACGATATCCGGATCCTAGTAAAATCGCAATCCCACGGTCCATCATCGTGCATGCCGTTACGACGAGTATCGACAAGCCGATCTGTACTCATTCATGGTCATTGCGTACCCCGCATTGTTAATCCGGCATTTTTATCTACGTTCCGGCAAATCCGCTGCTACTACGAAACATCGGCATAAAGGCTTTATCGTTCTGTCAGCGTTGACGGTGGGCATAAAAATGAAGCAGGTTTTTTAAAAGGTTTTGTATTGCATTTTTTGTTTCAAATTCAAGTAATTTTGGTGTCATATCTGCTTTTTGCTCGTAACGACACTTGAAAGCAACAAACTAATCGTTAATAGTGAGAATTTAAGGTAAAGGTATTGAAGTTACTTATGTATTTTCAACAGGAGAAACTATCTATATAAATTTAATTGAATATAGTAAAGGATATTAAAAAATAATATCTATTTGCTAACATCGTAATTGATTTCTGTCTTAAAAAGCCTAGAAAAATACGTAATAATTAGTTAAAAGAGATTTCAGAATTTCATATTTTCCAGTTAATTTGAAATAAGCCACAACTTGTGTGAATTTCTTCCCTAGGTGGGCGTAATTATCTGCTGGATGCCGTATAATTTTATTGATACTATTGGATTGTTTGTGGATTTTAGCGAGAATAAGGATATCCCGGTGGCGCAAACCATCGCATTTGTCCTGTATGTACTGCAAACCATGCTGGATCCGATCATTATAATCGCCACAATGCAAGATGTACAGCAGGTGTTTAAAAACTTTCGCCGGCGGTGCATTGCACGATCGATTAAACCAACTGCCACACAGTGTATTGAAAAGTACTGCAATCAAGCGGAAAAATGATTGCCGCACTTATTTGTGTAATTGTTGAAGTTAGTAAGTACATTCGCAACCCTGATAACTTGCCCTGTCACACGTACTAAGAAGCTCATTTTATTATTCTTCCGGTCGGTTGATGCGTATGAGCGCGTTTGTGAAGCGATGCATTCTGTATTGACTTTGCATTTAAATCATGTTTTACTTTTTTCAAGCAAAATATGCTTCTGCTCATCCGTGGTTGGCCTTTAAGATTCACGTGTGTGTGCTGGCGTCATGCTTGTAATACTGACCGCATTAATCCAATTTACGTACATAGTATATAGGCGCCAATGTGCAGCTCATGTGACCAAGGTTGTGCCATGAAAAATCAATGAAAATTAATTAAAACGACAACATGTTAACCTTGGTGCGTTTAATAAAACGCCTACCGGTGCATGTAATTTATAAAATGCCGGTACTCCTGTGTGTGTACTATGCCGTTGGAGTTGGACGGCCAAAATGAATGACAGAGATGCTACGGGACGATAAAACGGCGGTACAATCTCCGTGTGCCATCACGTGGGAATAAACAGCAGCTGGAACGCGCGTTATTCGGCCTTTTTTCTCGCAAACAAACGGAACCTGTTTTGTGAGTGTATCGGCTTTCGTGCTTGTGTTTATCTGGATGCAGTGTCGGATTTCTTGGGTACCTTTTTCCTTCCACGGTGAAATTCTTTCAATAAACCGACCGTTCAACTGCAGCAGACATATTGTCAGATATTAGTTTTCATTTTCCAGTTTTGCCGGTGACTTATTTTACCGGTTGAAATTGCAAAATCCGTCCGACAAACTATGGCGGAAAGTCAGCAAGATTTAATTTTCAATCCCTTTATCGCCACCGTGTTATGTTCATTGTACATTCTTCTGCTGATCGGCGGTTTAATCGGGAATATAGCGCTGCTGTTCGCCGTTATTTCCCGATCGGCCCTGCGACGCAGTTCCGCGCACTGTTTGATCGCCAACATCGCGCTGGTCCACTGTTTCCTCTGCCTGACCAGTATACCGTTCACCGTCCTCCCACCGTACCTGGGCGGCTGGTATTTCGGCTGGATAGCCTGTCACGTAGCGTTCTTGGTGACGTCGGCAGCGGTCATTAATTTGGCGCTGACCATTATCACGCTGGCTGCGGAGCGCTATTACAGTGTCATACATTGTCAACAGGATTTTGTTATTTTCTCTTCGCGTTATGTGTGCGTGACGGTTTTTTTGATTTGGATTACCGCCAATCTTATCTCGCTACCATATGCTGCTTACGCAAGCTATGAGACCAAGTACGTCTGAACTTGCAGTGTGATATACCGTAATTATCGAATTTGAAGCCCCCCCCAAAAATACCAAAATACAAGCCAAACCCCGTAATTAGAGCCTACCCTTAAGATCGTTTAAAAGTTCTTTGTTACGGATACAAAACAAACACACAATTATTTGACCGATTCAGTTTTATTTACCGGTAGATTATTCTGCATCAAAGCATTTTATTTAGATTAATAAACACCACAACATATAGCGCTATTAATTTAATCACGCAATTCAATTCCGCAATACAATACGTATTTCGTCTAGTTTTATGCTGTTATAGCGACTATGAAATTATCAGTAGGCAATTCCAGTTTTCGGTTGTTTCTGTGTATTTACTGAGCTATTAAAGATATTTTATGTGGCTTAATTTTTTTATGTACGTGATGTGAGCACAGAGGAAAACTCGTAATTACGGTACTGAAATCAGTATGAAATATTAAATACTTACAGTACCATGGTTAACTAAAAAATGTAGTACATATACATATGACTGTACTATGTAGTACATATCTACACTGTATGTACCGTATTTAAATACGCTTTGATACGAAGTATTTTTATGAAGCCTATGACGAAGTATACGAATATGACTGTATTTTTATGGAAAAATTAAGTAACTGGTGATGTATTTTCCATTTTGGAATAATATTTTAATAATCTTTGTTCTATAGTAGCAACACAACAGCAGTTCCCCAGTGTTCGGAGAATTTCCCCGACACACCACGGAAAATCTTCTGGACCACCACATTCCTGATGACATTTTCTATACCATTCCTTATCGGCCTGGTAATCTACCGGAGCGTCTTTATCAGCCTGGCGCAAACCGTGTTTATGGAGAAGCTGCGGTCAGTCAGCGTCGCCCGGGATGCTGCAGCCGAGCGTCGCACCAGCCTCGTGGCCCTGAAGATCAGCGTAATGCTGGGTGTGTGCTGGCTGCCACTGCACCTGATGAATGCGTTATACGATTTTGCCGGTATCTCCTTGGGACGATACGGGAGCACCCTGCATCTTGCCGTGCACATTATCGCGCTGACGTCGGTCGTGCTGCTGCCGATCATATGCTTCCGGGGAGACGAGAGCTTCCGAGCAAGCGCTGGCAGTGCGTTAAAGAAAAAAGAAGTGGATAATGGGGATAAAAAACCGACACCATTTGTAACTAAATCGCAGAATGAGCCGCTCCTTGAATGGTTGTAGTTTATAAAATAATTGGCTAAATCAGTGGAAGTACGAAAGACTTCAAAACCATTTTCTGTATTGCTGAAAATAGTCACGAAGCTTTACTGCAATTTAGTGGCGTCAATATTATCGTATTACCGTATAACCTTTTCCGTCCCTTAGCTATCGAAACCTGTTGTATAAAAATAAAAAGACTGAAATGCTGTAATGTTAAGTTAATGTACGTATTAAAAAATTCTGGCTGACGTTAACGACATAGATAGACAGGGGAAAATTACAGATAGACATTTGTACAGATAGACAGGGGAAAATTTGTGTTTGATACAATCTGCGCATTGGCAGCAAAACCTGAAATTTTCGTTAGCTTAGCAACGGATGCATATAAAAATAATTATTATGTTATCAATCAAAAACGTGAACACGTAAAAAAGCACAGCGTAAACGTCGCAGATATTTACCACTCTCCGTGCGAGTCGAATTTTCGGAAGCAGTATACAAGAAAACAACTTTCAAATTGCGCGTATTCACTACTCACTACAAATAAATTTAAAAGGACTGTTTTACAAGGATTGTTTCATTTGAAAAGATATCATACTCACTCCACTTGCCCAGTCTAAATCATGCACCGTATCATAGAAGGTATGTGTGCTTAAACACATTTTGTTTAGTATGACTCTACAGTACCTGGGAAAAATACTTCAAGTTTTGTATACAAACACGCTTATGTGCTATTGCAGCGCTTATCATGTTTGGGGGAATTGCGGTGACCGTTACTGGTAAGAATTTTGCATGACATTTTCATTCGACTGCTTAATGCATGTGCTCTTAGTATGATATTGCGTTGAAATGATGCTTCATAAATCATTTTACAATGTAGGACAATTAAGCAGTACAGTAAATGCTTCGTTAATTAATTTAACGCAGTTTGCGCAAACAATCGCTTCTCAGTTCAAACCCATTGGTGGCGATTTATACGCACCGATGTTCTTTTCTATTCGATTTATGCGCACTGGATGTATTTGTGGTGCTTTTTTTACTTTTTTCTGAAGTTAATTTTTCGTACCGCGGAACGACTAACCGATTTTCGCGCTTTTATATCTTTTGCTTTACATTTTACATAGACGTTTTTTTTTAAGTAAATATTTCGATGCTTGATGTCACCAGTAAAGGAAGATATTTTGCGACTGGTTATCGATTTTCATAAAGCATAACATCTTTTTAGCTTGCGGTGACGACCCATCGGGACATGTTCATCCCCCGCGGCATTTTCGCTCAGTGCGTGGCGTTCCTCCCCGTAACCCAGGACCTACTCGACCTCCTTTTGAGCTAGAGGCCATCACCATGATCTGCAGTCCCTCCCTGCAGCCGTACTCCGGTATTGCCAACAAGGAGCGCTGCCAGATTATGTGCCTGCAAAAGGACCCCTGTCTGGCTACGGTGTACGACAGAACCGCCGCCAAGGATAACTGCGCGAAGGTCAGCCCGACAATGTATTGTGCGCCAATGCGCGATAGCCTGTTGGGCATACAAAACACCCACGTGACGCTGGGCGCCGAAGATTACCCGCCGTTTATAGCCATTCCGAACCTGATGATGGACGACAGTGTCGCCAATGCGGCATCCATCAGTGACGGGCACAGCAGCTCAGTGAACGTGTTCACCAATATGACTGATGCTAACTGTCGCAGAATGTGCCTGCTGCACAGTGACTGCAACGGATTTGTCCTCTCTGGTAACCCTGCGGCACTGACGTGTACGTTAAAGTCGTTCAAGCAAGCCCTGGTCGTGGGGAAGAATGCGCAGTGTACCAAACCCGATGCTAAGGCAAAAGTGCCACCGTCGCCCATTGGCACATATTATATGGATTTTTCAAACTTCTATGCGCTCACCTCGAAGAAAGAGCTGCCTAAACCTTTTCCAAAATGCCCGGCGACGTGATTTTTTTTTGGCACCATTACACTACAAAACTGTCTTTATCATCATTTTTGTATTAATTCAGTCAGAGTCCAAAAAAACGTATATACTGTAAAATGCTGTAGCCTGCAATCACCATGCATAATCACAGATACTCACAAATCTAAAGATCCCTGGTTTTCCGTATTAGTTTTATGCATAATAGCCGTCTTAGAAAAGTGAGATAAACTACGTAGTGGCAGGTTTTATGTGTCATTTTATGTGATTTTATCTTCCTGAATATATGTGCGTTCTGGATAATACTCCAAATAAATCCATTAGAAGTTTACCTTTACCATTGCAGCGTTTCCGGTTGCTGATTAGGCTTAATTTGTACCTATCAAAGGTTTGTAAGATCACGTACTCTGTGAACTGTGATTTACGTTGCAGTTTTTTTGTCAGCTGAGGTGCCAGTTTTTGATCAGTGACAACGTTCCCGGTGCCGTTGAGAAAAGGTATAAACATATCGGTCAATACCGTGCTGCTTTGTTACTGTATGACCACGTGCCCCGTGCACTTTACAACTTACCACTATCAGTAGGTACTCCGCCATTAAGGAAATACGGAATGCCATAATGTTACACGACTCAAGAAAAGCCAAGACAACGTCGTCCACTAAAGGAGGGGCGCTTAAATTAAATACGAAAGACCCATGAAGCATGCATCGTGTTGCCTTTAACATGTTCCTTCGCCAAATTATCTCGATTAGCAAAAGCAGTGTCGCAGCAAAGAACAGACATAAGGATGCATATAAAGTTGACTGCAAAGCTTCCATGCGTATCGAAGTAGTGCCTTTCGAGTTAAGGTCGAATTTCGCAAATGGCGTTCCATGCGCAGAATATACCATAGTCAAATATACATCAACAATGTGCTGAAGATTACCATTTTCCACCAGCTGCATCACCCTGAATTTAGAAAAAATGACGTCGTTGGTTAGGGCTCTTGCATTTTATTATCGAAAGAGCTGCTCTGGGCAGCTATTTCTGAAAATAGAACCTACATAAAGCTTATCTTTTTTGCAGTTTTTGTTTCGTGCTGAAACTGGTATAGGGCGACAAAAGTGCGAGAGAATGAATCCACCGCTGAAACAAATCCGGCTTTTTGAAATTGAGGTGCTTCCAAAACATTATTGCTAAATATAGCAATGCGCTCGTTTCTCGATAAGTTGGCTGCATATGAAATAAACGCATCCTGGGACGTTTTTGCGTCATAGTGGCGCAATCGTGGGATAACCGGTTCCAAAACTGTGGTATGCTAAAAGAATTCCGAGTTAACTAAAGTACATATAAACGACAGTTATCTAACGCAGTAATTTACTTTTTCTTCGTATACTCAGCTATTCTGCGTTAGGCAAAAAGACGGTTTCTAGACTGTGTCGTTGGTCCGACGCAGTTGCATTCGTAACCTTACCATTAAGCCGACAGATGCTGTTGTGCCAACCACAAGAGGATCGAAACCTGATCGCGCAAATCCCACCAGACTGTGGAAAGGGAGGGTCAGTGTTGTTCCTAATAGGCTTGAACTGACGTAGGCATTCATTAAGCATATCGCAAAGTAAGAATAGATGATCCACTGCAGCAGTGCCAACTGGGCACCCGCAAACCGTGGGCGCTTAATATCCACTACAAAATTAGTAAAACCATCGTCCACTAGCGGCTAAACAACGTTCAGCTTGTTCTTCACTTCTTACCCTGACTGAAAAAGCTGAAGATCAGAGTCTGCATGGTAGTCAAAATACTGGTAATCCATTTGAGCATGGCCAGTGTTCGAAGCGAATCCGCGTTTTTTAAACTTTGGTTTACCGATGTCGTACTATAATATTGTCTTTGTCTTGCGCTCAAACAGCGTACGATAAAAATAGTCACGATTACGCTCACTGCGGATACAAGCAAGCCCGGCCATGTATCGATCAATGCTGTGCGGAACAGGGCTCTGATCAGGGACTTATCGGTAATCGCTGAATCGACCAGCCATCTTTTATGCACGGCGATATTGTAATCCCTGGACAAAAATCCGGTGATCAAATAAAAATCCGCTGCGCGAGACGGCGTGATGGCTAACGGGCACAAACTCATGTCTACCTTTCCCATAAGAAGCTCCGCCGGAGCTCCATCATACGTCGCATTTTCTGTTGTCGTAATAGTGACTAATGAAGATACTGGCGGTAATAACAAGAACCTAAAGCAAATTTGAGTCAGTTGAAGTGAGTCAGTTCCACTTCAAAAAGATAATGGGAATAATGGATTTACCGAAACCCAAGCTTTTGACCAACTAAGGTCAGCAGAGTAACTGATAATCCGCAAAAGCATCCAGAACCAGGAGGACTTTCGAAGTTCCACGGAGGACTATCGGAGACACTGACAGTGATCAAATTATCCACATTCAGATACATCTCGGTTGACAGCGTGTGGTTATTTTTGTCTACGAAATCGATCGGCTGTGGCATAACTGTACAGACAAGCAGTGACAGCGTTCGGCATTGCACGTAGAGTCCTTCATTGAAATCCATAAATATTTCTTTGAGCTACTAATCCACTTTCAGCAACTGAAAATCACAAGGTGAACGTGCTGCTTGTGCAACTAGTGTCGCAGTCGTAAAAGTCTATTATTGTCTGTACTCTGAAAATGCACTCCGGATATAAAATACTTGAAACTGGAAATCGAATTCCTTTTCCGTATTTGCACTGGCAGGTTTCTTTTGCGGATGCTTTGGAGGAATACTAGTTATGGAGGAATACTTTGGAGGAATAGTACTACTACCTGTAATATTAGCTTACTAGACAAGCAAAACGTTTCGTGTAACGTTTCGTTTTGCTTCAGAACTCCCATCCACATTAAAGAATAAAATTAGGGAGGGTGCAATATGAACGTCGATTTTCCTAATGCATCTCAAATCCCGAAGGAGAAACTTGGGTGTTTGTTGTTGGCAAACAATTTTCAATCCCCAAGATTCTCTGACGGACAAACAATATCAGGGCCTTCGCAAAGTAATTCTCTCGTACTATCAGAACATACCTGACGGCTTATATCAGTTCATAAAAGGTCATAGTTGTCGGTATCACTTTAGTTGCTGGCATTTTCGGCACTTGTAACATATTTTATTACACTGTGTAAATTATTATTAATTATTATTAATTATTATTAAACGCTGTTTGATGTGTTATGAATAGCAAGTGCATTTATTGATTATTTTACTGACGGCATGCAGTCATTCCAGTGCAGAGCCGAACCCCTAGTAAGTAATAGAAGTAATGCACACTGTGTGAATGCATGATGCATTTAGCAAACATTGATGCAGGAGCACTGCACTGATAGTTATGAAACCTTTCAATCACTGATCCCACTTGGCAATTTACTTTTGACAAAAAAAGGTAATTCAGGTTATTTTCTGCGGAATGAAAATTATTGTTATCCCGCGCCTACTTATTATACTTACAAACAATACTCGTATAGCTGCTGCATCTTGATGGCGAATACGGCGATAGTATCTGCATGATAAAGCATATTCATACTGCATTGTTCAAGACGAACGAAACTATCAGATGCGTACAATCCTTCCATCACAAAAGCGCACAATTCAGGTAAACCAAAAATGAAATCAAATTAGAATGGCTGAATTCGCCATTATCTCGCGTATAAGCAACCTACCTGTGGCAAACGACCAGATGCCAACAATAATTATTTTAGATTATTTTGCATTTCTTTTAACGAGGTGATATTTTAATCATTAATCGAAAATGCAATGCACCACTCTAGTAGATTAGTTCCTTAGTTTTACCGAATCGAGCACTACATGGTTGTCATTGTAGCCAGATCTTTTATGGTGTGATAACATTGGTACACCTATGGCAGCTCATAAACATTACTCATGAGAAAGAATAAAAATGTTACGGAACTGCATTCTGATTTTAGTGCTCGTACAATACAAGCAAACGCCGAAACACGGGCAGAATGATTGTAAATAGAGCTGGGAGGTACATTGTGACGCAAGTTGTTAATTACCAATGGGTTTTTCTGACAGCATAGCTGCTACAATACTACATTAGCGCCTGTGTGGCAGTAGTGCACATACACTACAACATCCAACGCAAAATCTTCACAGAATACATTTCATTTTACATTTATAAGTAGCATAAACTAACTTTTTTCATAAACTGATTGCATAACCCAAGATTACCCATGAAGAAGCGCATGTTTCCGCAATCCAAACATGTTAATAAAATACTGAGAAGTTATTAAAAGCACACACATCAGATCCAGTGTTATTGCTTTGTTTTATTTCCGGTAGACGACTGGTCATCTATTCGGTTGCGGTGGAGGGCGCAGTTGCCTTGCAGGACGCTTAGCAGGATACCACGATAGGTTTCGTTCAACACCAGAAATATGACCTGCAGAAAACGCCTTCGTAACCATTTCTTGCTGTAGACCTTTAATAAGTATCGCACGCTAGTACACACTTAGTACTGAAACAAAAAAAATATTCATAGCAATTTCTTACTACAAGTATCGGTCGCGCTAGCGCGCGACCAGTTGTGTTCGAGGTATGGAAGAATGAAAAAAATACAAAATATACTTCGTACAGCCACAAAAATGATTTTGAGAAATGTTTCAAATATGAAACCCAGCGAGGCCAGCTACGAAAATATTTTAACATGTAGAAATGCGGACAGTTTTCAAGCTTCCCGGTAAAATTCGACCAGTGTTATAAAAACTGTGAAAGCCTCAGCAATTTTTCTTTTTGTTTGCATTTTTCACGGTTCTTTTTCACGTTTTTAATGTAACTTTGTATTGCCGATCTAACGAACTGAAAACTTGAATTTTTTTGTACGACCGAAAATATTCAAACGGTGATTAAATGAATGGAGTGGGATCATTTACACAATGCCCACAAAAACCATTAAGCCGATATTTTAGCGCAGAGTTAATGGAAACTTGTGAGAAACAATTAACGGTTGCCCAAGGTGACCTGGGAGGCTGCATCTTTAGCTACTAAGTAATTGTAAGGTTTTCAGCCATTCGATCAAGCTCGTGAGTATATATCAAAATATCATTTATATCCAAAATGATAAATTAAATACATATTTATTAGATTTTGAGCTTGAGCTTAGTGAATACCCAAGCTACCGCCAGTATCACAGAGCCGCTATGTGAGCGAATACGGTAAACGGGCCGCAGGTTGGCTTTCAAATATTTAGAAATTACATATAAATTAGACAATTCAGACCGTGAGATATTGAGGTACTCAGATTTCCAGATATTTTTAAATTTTGAAACTTTGGAGGCTCAAAAAATTAGAGGTAACGGCCCCGCTGCGCGGGGCCGAGTCGGAAATATTTAGAAATATTTAGAAATTCTTGAAATGTAAAAGCTTTGGAGCCGACTTTCGAACAATTTATAGTTATTTTGAGGTATTCAAACAGATTTAAAAAACATCTTAAAGGTTTCAAGAATTAAAAAAATTATAAGTTGGATGGGATTGACAATTTTAAATAACTATAGTTTAGGTTGCTAAGTTGCGAAACTGTATTTGCTCATTCGAGACGTTTCTAGAATTTACTGGAAATTTCTATGAACTTTAAACGCTAAGTACTGAAAGTTTGAAAGGTTTTCTTAAAACGTTCCAGAAACCAAAATTTTTTTCCAAGCTGCAGGTAGGAAGCTTTAGAAGATGGTGGATTTTATAAGATAATCAAAAGCTTCACAAATGGAATCTCGAATTAGGAGATAATTTCCAAAACTAACGACCTTTAAGTACTAACAACCTTTAAGTACTACAGCTTCTAAAAATCTTTTTAGACCTTCTCCAAAACTTGAGACTTTTTTAAAGATATAGGTAGAAACGTTTGCGCGATGCTCTATTTTATAAAATTATCAACTTATTAAAAAAATCAATCTTGATTTAGGAGATAATTTCCAAAAAATAAGGACGTAAGGATATATGAATCTATTGATACGGAAACTAAATGCACGAGAATTACAAGCTGTTACCAAAAAACCATCAATTGCTTCGCAAAATACTGTCTAATAATTTTGGAAGCAGTAACTGCGTTATATGACTAGAAGGCTCAATAGAAACATCAGTTTGTCAGTAAGTGTCGTTCTGAACGTAAAGGTCAAAAAGGGAGAGTAATTAGGTATCGCTACTTGGAAAACTGCTTACAGTAAACCGAGTTTCTTAGATATTCTCATAACATCCTGCCACGGTATTCGCCCGCAACGTCACGGCAGCCAACAATACTATTAACGCAGCAGTTAATGGTCACGGCCGTGGCATGCCATAGCGACACATCCACAACGTGCTTCCGTAGCGGACACAAGCGCAATAATGTATTAGCTTCCTTGAGTTTAGAGGATCCAATAATCTTTAAGTTTAGAGGATCTACGTTCTGCTTCGGTCGAAAAACTTACCGGAGATAGCGCATATCCAGTAATCGTGATATTTCTGACGTACAGCTGTAGGATAGGATTATTGCGGTATGCCGGAAGCTGCAGAGATCCTAGTAGCATTAACGGATAAAAGCATGCCAGATTCCAGAAAGAAAACAGAACCAGTGCAACCGCCATCTGGCGCCGTTTCTGCAGGCTTTTTTCCACTGCTGTCTTCGCCGTTGATGATTTTTCGGTTTGAGAAATGTAAGCCAGCTTGAACAGAATGATAAGGTACAATACTACTTGGGTGGCGTTTGGAGCGTGAGTGAAAATCGATGCGAATATGGGATAGAACGCTGCATATCGCTGCGATGGATCAGCGTGGAAGCCACAACTCTTCCAAGGCTGTGAAAGTCCAAAGGATCCCCCGACTTTAAATAGGAGCGGAATCAAGCCAGCCGAGCCAATAATCCACGCTGAACCAATCTGTAAAGAATGAAAACGTAGCAACGACATTATGCATCAGCACTAGAAACTAAGCAGTGTAATAATACGTGTTTTATAATAGTACTCTGTACGGATTACGATAGAATAGCAGTGTCAGCTGTCTAAAGCAGCAGCAACTGCAGTCTATGGACATTACTGCATTAAGAGATTTCTCATAGACGGCAGTCCTTCCCGTTGCTGGCTATGTTAGTGACCTTCAGTGATTATAGAGTACTTTTTTGACCCACTTTAAGATCGTACCATTGTCAGCACCACCAAGTTGCTGGTTAATTTCTTGTAGTGGCTTGGTAAAATAATGGCAACGAAACGATTAATAGCCAGGCCAGTGTTGCTGTAAAACGATACTGCGCTAAACAGTCCAATCAGAAAACTGACCAGAGCGCAGTTTTGCGGTGACAGCATGTTATAAGCACCGTTTAGTAAAA